CCAGTTTTATAACTACATGTTGGTAAGGCCAGTAAAACTAAAGATCAGTCCACTTCTCTCACATGGTCACACTTCCACTGTTATACACCAAACTTACCACTTCTCTCACATGGTCACACTTCCACTGTTATACACCAAAACTTACCACTTCTCTCACATGGTTACACTTCCACTGTTATACACCAAAACTTACCACCTCTCTCACATGGTCACACTTCCACTGTTATACACCAAAACTTACCACTTCTCTCACATGGTTACACTTCCACTGTTATACACTAAATTTTCCTTGTAGTATACTACTAATCACATGGTTACACTTCCACTGTTATACACCAAAACTTACCACTTCTCTCACATGGTTACACTTCCACTGTTATACAGTAAATTTTCTTTGTAGTATACTACTAATCACATGGTTACACTTCACTGTTATACACCAAAACTTACCACTTCTCTCACATGGTTACACTTCCACTGTTATACAGTAAATTTTCTTTGTAGTATACTACTAATCACATGGTTACACTTCACTGTTATACACCAAAACTTACCACTTCTCTCACATGGTTACACTTCCACTGTTATACAGTAAATTTTCTTTGTAGTATACTACTATTCACATGGTTACACATTCTCTAATGTACTATAAGTTTTACTTCTCTTCAAATGCTAGTCTGAATTCTGGTACATATGTTTCAGTATACACAATAAATTGAAAGCGAAATGAAAATAATTAGTTTCTGTTTTGCATTTTAAGTTTTATAAAATAAAAGACTTGTTTCTTCGATAATGTGTATCTTTTAAGTGCAAGTTATATTGTATTCACGTTTCATATTCCACAACTTTTTTCTGTTGAGAGAATCTGGAAAAAAAACATCCTCCATTTTGAAAAAGATACTTTCATTAAAATCATTATCTAATTGAAGCAGACTTTATCCACTTTTATGAGAGTTTACAGTGCTCAAACCATACACACCACCACACAGACCATATGGAGATCCCTGTACAAGCTACAGTAAATTCTCATTGGAAAAGAATTTTTCACAAGGCTAATCATGGAATGTCTACTATGTGTAAAACCACGAAAATGAAACTAATATTAATGTGTAGCTTGAAATATGCAAGTAACAACGAGAACAGGTTAACTCTATGATACACAATTAAAACAGTAATGTTGAAAAATGTCCCCCGAATTTCAGTATTATGTACAACAGCTTCGATCCAAACAACTGGACACGTCTGTTGTGATGTTTCATGTTAACTAATCTGTATTGTTTGTTTGTTTTTGAATTTCGTGCAAAGATACACGAGGGCTATCTGCATTAGTCGTCCATAATTTAGCAGTGTAAGACTAGAAGGAATGCAGCTAATCATAACCACCCACCACCAACTCTTGGGTTACTCTTTTACAAATGAATAGTGGGATTGACCATCACATTATAACACCCCCATGGCTGAAAGGGCGAGCATGTTTGGTGGGACGGGGATTCGAACTCACGACCCTCATATTGCGAGTCGAGTGCCCTAACCACCTGGCCAATCTGTGTTGAATCCAAAGAACTGGACAAATCTGTTGTGATGTTTCATGTTAACTAATCTGTGTTGAATCCAAAGAACTGGACACATCTGTTGTGATGTTTCATGTTAACTAATCTGCATTGGACCGAAATAACTGGAACATGTCTGTTCTGATATTTCAAGTTAACTAATCTGTGTTGAATCCAATCAATAAAAATATTTAACCTAATGTTTCATTTCATGTTAACTAATCTGTGTTGAATCTAAACAAGATGACATGTTGTTTCATTTTGAGTTAAATAATTGGTGTTGAATCGAAACAACAGGACATGTCTCTACTGATGTTTAGTTACATGTTAAATAATCTGTGTTGGACCTAAACAACAGAAATGTCCATTCTGATGTTTCATTCCATGTTAACTAATCTGTGTTAAATTATAATAACATGACATATCTGATCTGATATTTCATTTTGTGTTAACTAATCTGTATTGGATCCAAACAACAGAAACGCCCATTCTGATGTTTCATTCCATGTTAAGTAATCTATGTTGAATCCAAACAACATGATATGTCTGTTGTGAAGTTTCATTTCATTTTAACTAATCATGTTAACATATCATTTCTGATGTTTCATTTTGTGTTAACTAATCTGTGTTGAATGTAAACAAGATGACATGTTTGTTCTGTTGTTTCATTTTGTGTTAAGTAATCACTTTTGAATCCAAACAACTGGACATGTCTGTTTTGATGTTTATTTTCATATTAACTAACTTGTGTTGAATGTAAACAACAGTACAAGTTTGTTCTGACGTTTCATTTTGTGTTAACTAATCAGTGTTGAATCCAAACAGCTGGACATGTCTGTTGTAATGTTTCATTGTGTGTTAATCAATCTGTCTCAAGGACTTTATTTCCACTGAATTTTAGCACAAAGTTGATAAAAGTATTTATTAACAGTACATAACAGCAGATTGCAATTATATGATTAAAGCTGTCTAAAAACCTGTGTTCAATGAAACATGATTTTCTGCAACCACCCATAGTCATATTTTCAACAGTATCTCGAATCAACACAAGTCACCACTGGGCTACTCTTGAAATACTGTTTTTTATTATCTTATCTATGTCTAGGAAGCAGGCTATAAATTTGCTCCTTAGGTATACAAAAACTGTCAGAAAGCTTTACAGCTTATCAGGTTAAATGTTTTTATATGTAAAGAGTTTTATGCTACTTTTGGTTTGTGAAATAATAGGTCATCATGAAGCACCTTTCAGCTCAGTCCTTATCTGTCTGTAACTTTAAACACAAAAAATCTACACATCCAACATAGAGAGGAAGTCTTTACATATTTTACTAAACAAGTTTAACACTTTACTAGAATTTTTATTATTTTACTGAAGGGAAATTAAAAAAACAATAACTAATGTTTGAAACGAAAATAAAGACAAAACATTAAAATGAATCTCTTGTTTTCAAAATGATGAACAACAACATACTAAACCCCAAGAAAAGTCCATATTTAATTTTTGAACCATGAACTGGTTCTAAATAATTGTACTTTCTGATAATATATTTTATCAAATATATATATATATATATTTATATATTTCGTTTGTATTTATTTCATGTTAATAACACTTTTTTCTCACATAAACATATGAAACCACTAAGCAAATTCACCTTACTCATGCTAAAAACCTCATAATTAAAATACATCTACAAACTTAACAACACTTTTTTAGAGATACTTTATCTGTTAGTCCCTTTACTGTTAAACTTCAGTTTCATTCTGGTAGAACCATCTCTATGATACATAAATACTGATAACTTTAGCTTTGGACAGTAAGACAAACACAACTGTTTCTTCGTGTAGCAAAGGACATTATTCCAGCAATGTCTTTAGAAAAATCCCCATTATATTCAGGGTGTATGTGTCACACAACTGTCAAGAACTCAGTTTCTGGAACATGAATCATGGTGTGCGACTTATTGATTGAGTGGTCTTTTACTGCTCAGGTCACAGAAGCTTCTGTGAAGACATTAGATAAGGATCTATCTGGTAAACTGTTCCAATGCTTTGACAAGCTAGACAATTAATATTTCTTCAGTGATTTGTTGGGAAAATCAATTATTCTTTGATTCTCACGTCTTCTGATTTCTGTGATAACTACTTTTATACTTTCTCCACAAATCATGTGTTTCCTGATTAGACAGCCAAGGAAGGGAAAATTCACTAAAATAGTACAGAAAATAAGACTATTTTTAAATTCTGAAATCAACAAAAATATCCTTACTGCTATGACAGAGAAGTGATTAAATTACATTCAACCCAATCTTTTTGTTCTTTACATCTTGAAAAGTAAAATACATGTATATCAAACTAATGTAATTAGTGTTAAGAACAATATGTTTCTTGCCATTTAATAAAATTTTTATATGAATTCATATTTAATATCATAAGGTGGAAAAACTTGCAATCACACAAGCTTAATAAAACTAAAAACAACAGAACCTCAGTTTATTTTTAATACAGAATCAAATTCCTTCATTCATATTCATAACACTAGCAAACTCTACCTACCTTCTCTAACAGTATTTACTACACTAACAAACTCTACCTACCTTCTCTAACAGTATTCACTACACTAAGAAACTCTACCTACCTTCTCTAACAGTATTTACTACACTAACAAACTCTACCTACCTTCTCCAACAGTATTTACTACACTAGCAAACTCTACCTACCTTCTCTGAAAGTATTTACCACAATAACAAACTCTACCTACCTTCTCTGAAAGTATTTACCACAATAACAAACTCTACCTACCTTCTCTGAAAGTATTTACCACAATAACAAACTCTACCTACCTTCTCTGAAAGTATTCACAACAGTAGCAAAATCTCAGTGAATAATAACAGAAATTCATCATAATTAGATGTTACTTAGAAATAATCCTATATTTACATTGTTTACCAAATCCATTAAAAGGACAACAATGATTAACTACATTAACTTCTCCTGCAAAACAACTTCCAATTCGACTCTACTACATACGCTGATTTTTAACACCTAACACCTCCTATGTACTCTTCTGCTAGCTAGAGATGTACATTAACGTATGTTGTATAATTTAGTTCTACAATAAACTAACACCAGTACCAGTAACAGCAGAAGTGGTTTCTGCTTCTAAAGCTTCACACGTATGGGAAAGATAGTAGTATTCATGAATATAGTCAAACCAAAAGAGCAGAACAAGAGGGTAGTCATGGATGTCGTGAAAATAGGAGAGCAGAAGAAGAGAGTAGTCATTGAAATAGTCAAACCCGGAGAGCAGAAGAAGAGGGTAGTCATGGATGTAGTGAATATAGGAGAGCAGAAGAAGAGATCAGTCACTGATATAGTCAAACCAAAAGAGCAGAAAAAGAGGGTAGTCATGGATGTAGTGAAAATAGGAGAGCAGAAGAAGAGATTAGTCAATGATATAGTCCAACCAAAAGAGCAGAAGAAAAGAGTAGTCATGAATATAGTCAAATCAGGAGAGTAGAAGAAGGTGGTAGTTAAGGATGTTGTCAGTAGTAGTATTCCCTGAACATAAAACAGAAGTCAAACAAGCAGTAGTGTTAACTGGACATAGAACAGGAGTCAAACAAGCAGTAGTGTTAACTGGAAATAAAACAGGAGTCAAACAAGGTAGCACTAACTGGACATAAAACAAGAGTCAAAGAAGCAGTAGTATTCCCTGAACATAAAACAGGATTCAAGCAAGCAGTAGTGTTAAATGGAAATAAAACAGGAGTCAAACAAGGTAGTGTTAACTGGACATGAAACAGGAGTCAAACAAGCAGTAGTGTTAACTGGACATGAAACAGGAGTCAAACAAGTAGTAGTGTTAACTGGACATGAAACAGAGTCAAAGAAGCAGTAGTGTTAACTGGACATAAAACAGGAGTCAAACAAGGTAGTGTTAACTGGACATAAAATAGGAGTCAAACAAGTAGTAGTGTTAACTGGACATAAAAACAGCTATGCTTACTAAACAACTGTGTTATATGAACCCCAAACAGCTATGCTTACTAAACACTTCATATAACACAGTTGTTTAGTAAGCATAGCTGTTTGGGGTTCATATAACACAGTTGTTTAGTAAGCATAGCTGTTTGGGATTCATATAACACAGCCCCAAACAGTTAAGCTCACTAACAAACTGTGTTATATGAATTCCAAGCATTTATGCTTACTAAACAACAAAGTTATTAGAATTCTAAGCTCCATGATGATCTCATATATGGTTACAGACATACACTCACTTTTCCCAAGAAACAACATTCCAAGGATATTAACTTTACTATACAAATACATTTAACTAAATATACAGACATTCATGTTAGTTATAACGGCATTACTGAAAACTAGGCTTTTTTAACTTCAGTTTGTACTAAATACAGTCTTAGGTGAATGAATGCTAAAGCTAACTAAGTATTTTACTAAATAATAAAGACTAAAGGATTAGCTATGCAGATATACATTAACTTTTGTTGATAGCAAATTTTATGGCTACTAAAATTATAGAGAAATAATGGTTTTAATAATTTCAGGACAAAATTAAATTGTTGATTCAAGTGGTATCTTTATTTACTCAAAACTTATATTAGCTCAACATAATAAATAAGTCTTACTGAACAACTGTGTTTATTTTTCAAATTGCATAATTTGTACAACTGAGAATTAGATGACTGTCTTTCTTCACATTTATGCAAAATAAGAATAACCAAAGAAAAATAAGTGATTACATCAATACATCTGTTTACTGAATATGTAACTCTTTTTAGCCAGAAAAAGATTCAAAGTACAGTTACTTTATAAAAATGCAGTATTAAATCCGAACCAACACATCACAAACAACACTTCTTGAACAGCGAACAAGTTGTATCGTGTAAGGAGAACGGAGTTCTGTATTGAAGAATATTTATTGAAGTGCATTAGCATCACCACCTGTTAACACATTCACATAAAATAAGAAACAGATAAGTTCAATACAACAGTATTTCTTACATTGCCAGAAATAGACCAATTAAATGTTAACATTTTCATAAATTGAAAATGTATTTCCACTAATACTTATCCCCTCTCACACTACAGCAATACTTATCCCCTCTCGCACTACAGCAATACTTATCCCCTCTCACACTACAGCAATACTTATCCCCTCTCACACTACAGCAATACTTATCCCCTCTCCCACTACAGCAATACTTATCCCCTCTCACACTACAGCAATACTTATCCCCTCTCACACTACAGCAATACTTATCCCCTTCTCACACTACAGCTATTACTAAACTACCAAGGTTTCCTTCCTTTGCCTATCTAGATATCGGTCAGAATTTTTCCCGCTTGCTCCAATCTTATATAACCAACTTAATTGCCCTTGGAGATATATGTCACGTGACACTCTCCACCTACATCAATGTACCCTCTATCCTGGTACTGTATATAAGCATCTCATTCGGATAATGTTATCGCTTTTTTCGAGACTGACTCTATCTCAGTCTCTTACACCAGCTCTTAGTGGAGAGAAATGGCAAGTATTATTGGAAATACATTTTTGATTTAAGAAAATGTTAACTTCCAAAACATACTTACCTCCTCTCACACTACAGCTAGAATCCCACATTGATAAGATGGAGGGGCTAGTGAGAGCATCTTGTCAAATGATGAAAAAATTAAAAAACAAATAAATATAAAAACCGATAAATAAAGTCAGCAAAATTCTTAATACAACTAAAGATAAAATAGATATATAAAATATTATGTGAATGTAAAAAAGTTTATATAGGACAAACTAGAAGAAATTTAAAAGTCAAGGTTCCACTGCTCGAGGTTGGAATTATAGGACCATGGTCCCTATATCCCATGTTGGTGGCTGGGGCAATTGGACCACAATAAACTTATATACTTGGGAGTGGATCCCAACCTGTAGCCATAGAGTGATGCATTCTGAGCCGCCAGAATCAAAACAAGAAGGTAAGCAACACCCAAGTGGACAAACCTTTTCCTCAACCTGAAGAAGTCTGAAAGGAAACACTCCAAACTCGGAATGACAGGATCCTGTATGCCATACTCAACCTGAAGAAACAGAACTCATCTGGTCTGGAATTATGATCCTGTATGCCATACTCAACCTGAAGAAACAGAACTCATCTGGTCTGGAATTATGATCCTGTATGCCATACTCAACCAAACTGTGCTCAACCAAGGACCCAGGATGGGACCACACTGTATTTGGAATTACAAGGAGACAATTGACCTTCTTCGATGAACAATGTACTGAGCCAATATTGATCAAAAAGAAGGGCCATGCTCAACCCAACCCGGATAGCTGAACATCAAATCTGAACCGGTATGACAAGCAGGCTCCCACATAGGCTGTTGCCTCTCCTATCGACGTCAGGGAAAAAAAATCCAGGAACCTGGGTAGGAGGGTCCTATACAGAGGGGTGAATATTTTCATTACTCATATTGTCTCTTCTTTACCTTTCAGGGTCCCTTACCTCTTTTTCACAGGCAGGTGTGCTTTTATCAAACCAATTTCACACTAGCAACCACTAATTCAATATAATCTTATCTAGGTTGCAACAGGCTCTGTAGAAATTAGGTGTCCATAAAAATTTAGAGAAATTGGTTCACCTATTCCACTGTTCCTCGAGTCACCCCCATGCACATTACTCCACAGATACTACTAGTGGAACTAGGGAGTCCTTACCACATCCATTTTCCAGTCACTGGAGTGGTAGACATATGTTCTTCCTCTAGAGTGTCCGAATGAATTCCTCCACTCTTGGAAAAGAGGGCGTAGTTGGTTTGTTTGGCAAGCCAATATACGACAAGAATTCACGGATTATCATTTCTGGCACGGTGGCAAATGTCTCTCCTATCCCATATCTGATCACTACTCATTACTGCTTGGACCAATCAGATCATTTGTTATGTCCAGTGAGGATCTTGAAGATTTTGTTGCCCACATTAGTGCCGTTAGAGATCCCAGACAACGACTTTATTCATTGGGATCATTCAGTTTCTAGGATTTATCCCTCGTTACATGGACGAGGTAGATACGAAATTGATCCGTATTGCTTATTCTGGGCTCTCTTTGAAGGCAAGGAGACTTCTGCAAGTCATGTCTCATCAGATTCATCACGTTTGTGCCCTTTAGCAACTTGTTTGAATTGCCCACTGAAGGGCATTGTGCTGGCTGGTATGTGGACCTCCCCATTTATTTTTATGTCACATTATTTGCTTTATCTGGCATTATCGTCATCTGAGGGTTTTTGACTAACCCCTGTAGCTATCTAAACCACATCTGATAGATTAAACAATTTTTTTAAGAAAATCAATTAGGTAACACGAATAGCACTCAAAGTATCTCCAATGATCATAGTACAGAGAAACCCATTAGTGAGTGCTTTGTCAAGAAATAGTGATCATAATATCTCAATGAGGTGTTTATATACAGTACCAGGATAGTGTGTGGAATGACATAGGTGGAGAGCATCATGTGACAGATATCACCAAGGGCAATTAAGTGAGGAATAAAAGACTGGAGCAAGCAAGAAAAATTCTGACCAATGTTTAGATGGGAAAAGAAAGGAAACCCTTTTAGTCCAGTAATATTTGTAGTGTGAGAGGAGGTAAGTGTGCTTTGGAAACAGGTATTTCTTCTGTAATCGACATAAATCCTTTTAAGTTCAACTTACCAGGCTTTAAAACTGTGAACTGGTTTCCCAAATACTACAACAGGAAGTTTTTCACACAACTCGATGAAGCGAACTAAATGAAAAAAGAACAACTTTTATTCATACACAAACAGTAGTAGAACTTAACACTGTGTTTTATAAAAAAATTAATGTTGATTACTATAAAATCTATACATTCAGATGTATAAAGATAAAACTGCTATAGAACTTAACACTGTTTTATAAAAAATTAATGTTGATTACTATAAAATCTATACATTCAGATGTATAAAGATAAAACTGCTATAGAACTTAACACTGTTTTATAAAAAATTAATGTTGATTACTATAAAATCTATACATTCAGATGTATAAAGATAAAACTGCTATAGAACTTAACACTGTTTTATAAAAAATTAATGTTGATTACTATAAAATCTATACATTCAGATGTATAAAGATAAAACTGCTATATCGACAAGTTTTTGGAATGAAAAAAATATTTTTTTTTCCATGAAATAGATGAGTAGTACAACAGTACTGATGATTGGTACAACACTACTAGTGACTAGTCCAACAGTACTGGTGATTGGTACAACACTACTGGTGACTAGTCCAACAGTTCTGGTGATTGGTACAACACTACTGGTGACTAGTCCAACAGTTCTGGTGATTGGTACAACACTACTGGTGATTAGTACAACAGTACTGATGATTGGTACAACACTACTGGTGACTAGTACAACAGTTCTGGTGATTGGTACAACACTACTGGTGATTAGTACAACAGTACTGATGATTGGTACAACAATAATAGTGACTAGTACAACAGTTCTGGTGATTGGTACAACACTACTGGTGCTTAGTACAACAGTACTGATGATTGGTACTACACTACTGGTGACTAGTCCGACAGTTCTGGTGATTGGTACAACACTACTGGTGACTAGTACAACAGTTCTGGTGATTGGTACAACACTACTGGTGACTAGTCCAACAGTTCTGGTGATTGGTACAACACTACTGGTGATTAGTACAACAGTATTGATGATTGGTACAACAATAATAGTGACTAGTACAACAGTTCTGGTGATTAGTAGAACACTACTGGTGCTTAGTACAACAGTTCTGATGATTGGTACAACACTACTGGTGACTAGTACAACAGTTCTGGTGATTAGTAGAACACTACTAGTGATTAGTACAACAGTTCTGGTGATTAGTAGAACACTACTGGTGACTAGTAGAACAGTTCTGGTGATTAGTAGAACACTACTAGTGATTAGTACAACAGTACTGATGATTGGTACAACAGTTCTGGTGATTGGTACAACAGTTCTGGTGATTAGCACAACATTATTGATAATCTCCTTACTAATCCAAGTGTTTCATCAATTCCTTACTAATAAGTTAGTTAGGATAAGTTTAATTTAGCTAATCTCTTCCTTACTAGTCCAGACTGTTTAATCTCCTTACTAATCCAAGTGTTTGATCAATTCCTTACTAATAAGTTAGTTAGGATAAGTCTAATTTAGCTAATCTCTTCCTTACTAGTCCAGACTGTTTAATCCCTTCCATACTAATAAGTCAGACAACAATCAGTCCAAGTTAATATGAGGGAAAACCTTTGATTCGTATTCTTTCTTCAATAGGTTTAAATAAACTTAAATTTCAACAAGATTTAAGTTTCTTAAATCCTAACTAGTTGAGAAAAGGTTAATTACTGATGTTTATGTTCAACTTAACTGAGGTTATGTTGATACTTATCTGACAATGACATACAATGAACATCAAATCACAAACTTCAAAATGAAACACTGGTTTTTCTTTATAGTAGCAACTTGTTCTACAAGCTGTACAGTGAATTTTACACATATATATATTAAACCTAAAAAATTGACATAAAAATAATTACTTACGATCTTTTGGCTTTGAATAATATGACTTTATTTCAGAATTACATTTTAATTTCTTTGCTTCCTTTTTTTCTTCATGTCTTTTTCTAAGCTTTTCTATTATTCTCATTTCTCTTAACCTTTGTATATCCCACCTGGAAAACAATAAAATTTGAGTTTGAAGATGAAAAGCTTAGATGAATTATATTCCTCAAATAAAGTTGTTAATTACAGTTTTGTTTTCTATTATCTGACAATGATAATCCACACAGCAAATCATAAACAGACATCAGACAATATTATTTTGTACAGAAGTTTATCAAGTGTCATACGATGACTTGTATGTTAGTTAGATAAAACCTAGAGGTAAAAATATTTTCTTAACACAGGAAAAGTATCAAAATTCCCTTCATAATCAAATCAATAACCTATCAGTTGATAAATTCAAAATAATTTCCAAAACATCTCTCACAAATAAGCCTTGTGCAAAACAATTTCTGGTCAGTTAGTAACAATACCAATTATTCAAGATCTTTTTATTTTCTTGCAAACTTAAACATATTGATATTTTTTCCATTACACAGTCTCGTTTATAACCTTCCTTCAACATTCAAAGAAAATACCATAATTACACACTTTTTATATCACTCTCCTAACAATCAAGAAAATTATTAAAATTTTATTTTCAGACAGTTTTGGAACTGACATTCACTTAAACTGGATAAAAACAATAATGTCAAACTGGATACGCTAGCAATAACAGTGTCCAACTGATTACACTTGCAACAATAATGTCAAACTGGATACACTAGCAACAACAGTGTCCAACTGATTACACTTGCAACAATAATGTCAAACTGGATACACTAGCAACAATAATGTCAAACTGGATACACTAGCAACAATGGTGTCAAACTGGATACACTAGCAACAATGGTGTCCAACTAATTACACTAGCAACAATGGTGTCAAACTGATTACACTTGCAACAATAATGTCAAACTGGATACACTAGCAACAATGGTGTCAAACTGATTACACTTGCAACAATAATGTCAAACTGGCTACACTAGCAACAATGGTGTCAAACTGATTACCCTTGCAACAATAATGTCAAACTGTATACACTAGCAACAATGATGTCAAACTGGATACTCTAGCAACAATAGTGTCCAACTGATTACACTTGCAACAATAATGCATACTATAGATATATGTCACAAATGTAAAATCTATTTGTAATAAAAAAATAAATATGTTATAAAATACTATAATAATACATTTTGAAAATCTAAGAACGGCAAACATCATTTATTGGAATTATTTCTAAACTCATCCTTGTACTTTAATTTTAAATATTTCCAGTCATCCTTGTACTTTAATTTTAAATATTTCCAGTCATCTTTGTACTTTAATTTTAATTATTTGAAGTCATCCTTGTACTTTAATTTTAAATATTTCCAGTCATCCTTGTACTTTAATTTTAATTATTTCCAGTCATCATTGTACTTTAATTTTAATTATTTGAAGTCATCCTTGTACTTTAATTTTAATTATTTCCAGTCATCCTTGTACTTTAATTTTAATTATTTCCAGTCATCCTTGTACTTTAATTTTAATTATTTCCAGTCATCATTGTACTTTAATTTTAATTAATTCCAGAAATCCTTGTACTTGAATTTTAATTATTTGAAGTCATCCTGGTACTTTAATTTTAAATATTTCCAGTCATCCTTGTACTTTAATTTTAAATATTTCCAGTCATCCTTGTACTTTAATTTTAATTATTTCTAGTCATCCTTGTAATTTAATTTTAATTATTTGTAGTCATCCTTGTACTTTAATTATTTGAAGTCATCCTTGTACTTTAATTTTAATTATTTGTAGTCATCCTTGTACTTTAATTATTTGAAGTCATCCTTGCACTTTAATTTTAATTATTTCTAGTCATCCTTGTACTTTAATTTTAATTATTTGTAGTCATCCTTGTAATTTAATTTTAATTATTTGTAGTCATTCTTGTACTTTAATTTTAATTATTTGTAGTCATCTTTGTAATTTAATTTAAATTTTGTTTTGTTCACCAAACAAGAGATTTTAATCCTCCAACTTTTCTGGAACTTACTTTTTCCGTCTCTTTTCTTCTTGTTCATATTTATGATGTCTCTTATTGAATGTTTCATCTTCGATGTTCTGTGAAATTTAAATTCTCAAAATAAATTTTCCAAAGAAATAACATACATGGATTATATAGGCTTTTCTAGTATAGAACCTTTGTTAAAGCACAAAAAGTACTCAGCTCTAGAAGTATAAGTCTACTTTGGTCTTAAACATATACAGATCTATAGAAAATAAATAAATAGGACAAAGAAGATTAAATCTTTAACCTTCTCTATTGCTTCTGAAACATTGCATCATGAACTGTGATGTTTGCTGCTAGCACGAAAAACATTGCAACATCAATTTATAAAGCAGATACATTCATAATTTAAGTACATCTGTATATAGTTAAAAACTTGTGTTCTTCTGAAATATCTATGTAGTCAATTAAAAGCCAGACATCTACGCATAGTTAGAGAATAAACCAAGCTTGCAGGAATTTTTTTTGAGAATGGTTATAGAATGCACCAAGCTTGCAGGAACTCTTTGTGAGAATGGTTAAAGAATGCACCAAGCATGCAGGAACTCTTTGTGAGAATGTTTAAAGAATGAACCAAGCTTGCAGGAAATCTTTGTGAGAATGGTTAAAGAATGCACCAAGCTTACAGGAACTCTTTCTGAGAATGGTTAAAGAATGCACCAAGCTTGCAGGAACTCTTTGTGTGAATGGTTAAAGAATGCACCAAGCTTGCTGGAACTCTTTGTGTGAATGATTAAAGAATGCACCAAGCTTGCAGGAACTCTTTGTGTGAATGGATTAAAGAATGCACTAAGCTTGCTGGAACACTTTCTGAGAATGGTTAAAGAATGCATCAAGCTTGCACAAACTCTTTGTGTGAATGATTAAAGAATGCACTAAGCTTGCACAAACTCTTTGTGAGAATGATTAGAAAAACATAGAAACAAAAACATGATATAATGAAGACATTTATTATAAAACAGTCATGATGAATGTGGAAAAATAACTGTCTTTAAATAAAAAAAATAAACTGTTATACTAAATAAGTCAACAGTTATCTAGCATAACATAAAATGTTTCACAGCATATGCTCCAAATTAGAATTCCATGGCATTGTGAACTCAGCACATTTAAGTTGATCAACATGATGTTTGAAGTGGTAATGTGAACTCTAGCACAGTTAAGTTGGTCAACATGATGTTTCAAGTGGTAATGTGAACTCTGGCACAGTTAAGTTGGTCAACATGATGTTTGAAGTGGTAATGTGAACTCTGGCACAGTTAAGTTGGTCAACATGATGTTTCAAGTGGTAATGTGAACTCTGGCACAGTTAAGTTGGTCAACATGATGTTTCAAGTGGTAATGTGAACTCTAGCACATTTTAGTTGGTTAACATGATGTTTGAAGTGGTAATGTGAACTGTAGCACAGTTAAGTTGGTCAACATGATGTTTGAAGTGGTAATGTGAACTCTAGCACAGTTAAGTTGGTCAACATGATGTTTGAAGTGGTAATGTGAACTCTAGCACAGTTAAATTGGTTAACATGAAAGAAGATTAAAGATTGACAGCCATCATGAGGGTATTGTCCAGACTTACTGTAATACAATCTATATTTTTTTACTTGTTCTATTTGGATATAAAACTTCACAGATGAACCATAACCTTACACATTTAACATACTTTTACCTGTTTTAAGTGTATATAGGTTAATTAGTGACCATTAGTTTTAAGTGCATACAGGTTAGTGACCATTAGTTTTAAATGTATATAGGTTAATTATTGACTATTAGTTTTCAGTGTATATAGGTTAATTAGTGACCATTAGTTTTAAGTGCATACAGGTTAGTGACCATTAGTTTTAAATGTATATAGGTTAATTATTGACTATTAGTTTTCAGTGTATATAGGCTAATTAGTGACTATTAGTTTTAAGTGTATATAGGTTAGTTAGTATTCGTTTTAAGTGTATATAGGTTAGTTAGTGACTATTAGTTTTAAGTGTATATAGGTTAGTGACTATTCGTTTTAAGTGTATATAGGTTAGTGACTATTAGTTTTAAGTGTATATAGGTTAGTTAGTATTCGTTTTAAGTGTATATAGGTTAGTTAGTATTAATTTTAAGTGCATACAGGTTAGTGACCATTAGTTTTAAGTGCATACAGGTTAGTGACCATTAGTTTTAAGTGTATATAGGTTAGTTAGTATTCATTTTAAGTGTATATATGTTATTTAGTATTACTTTTTATACCTCAGTTCCTTCCATCTGATAAACACTTGACAATGGTTTGTAGCTCCATCTAGGGACTGAAAAATAGTAAATATTTCCTGTAAATCTTTAGTGTTTACATAAGACATGGTCTATATTCTGTTTCAATACTTTTTAATATCTAATTTATAAACACTTAACACTAGGGAACTTTAAATAAAACCTTACTTTTATTATGGGTTGGTACTAATATCTTAAGTTCAGAAGGAAGTACAATATCCTGATGAAATTTAGTTGAATGGACGGCAACTGCCTGTTGTAGAAACATAGGCGTAAAGGATGACATTTCGAAAGTCTTCCACCTTTCGTTTTCAGGTGGAAGACTTTCAAAACGTCATCCTCTACAGTTGTGTTTCTACAACAGGCAGTTGCCGTCCATTCAACTAAGTGTCATCACGAATACTCTGCCTAAACAATCTATCAAAGAAGTACTATACAGACTTGGGTTGTGAAAAAATGATTGTTTCAAACAACACTATTAATTAGGGGGAATATATGTAACAGTTCTGTTTCAAACAACACTATTAATTAGGGGGAATATATGTAACAGTTCTGTTTCAAACAACACTATTAATTAGGGGGAATATATGTAACAGTTCTGTTTCAAGCAACACTATTAAGTAGGGGGAATATATGTAACAGTTCTGTTTCAAACAACACTATTAATTAGGGGGAATATATGTAAAAGTTCTGGTAAACATCCAATTCAATATTTTTACCAATATTTTAGTAATCCTTTTTGGATGCAGTGGTTAGATTAGCTTAGGAATTTTTAAAATTAAAAACACAAGCTAGATGTATGTATACATCAAGTTGAAACTATGAGATCAGCATAATAATATATTTTTTTACTTACTATTTTGTGCAAAAGTTAAAAATGAATATAATTTATAATTGTTACCATTCTCTTTCGCCTTTTACCATGTTTGTTAAAAACATACAAGTGGAAAATTAAGATGATAATCCACAATTGTAATTTATTAGTTATGTACGTAATCTAATAATCCATAATTTCAGTTTTAGTTATTATTATTTTGTACATAATTTAAAAACTGATAATCAGTAACTGTTACTACTCCTAATTTTTATTATAAAAGTTTTTATGCAAGTCGAAAACCAGATAGTTTTTATGAAACTGGGAAAAAGCATTTTACTTTCACTGAAATAATCATCAATTATTATGCTTTACTATTAACCATACATGTCTGTAATGTTCTTTACGGAACTAACCTCTAATTTCCTGTTGAGTGATACGATCCTTTGGTGTGACTGTAGGTAACATTTCTCCTATTGGAAGATAATACAATTCACTTGTTCTGAGGATTCTTTCCTTACCGATTCTTCCTTGAGCTCTCAGGGTCACACTGGTCAGTAAGGTCTTCTTTTCGGATGATGATGACTGTGAAGATAATGTTACCAATATTCCTGAGGAGTTTTCAATGTTTACTGGCATACCAGCTTCCCATGCTAAACTCGAATCTGCAACCACTGAGGTTTGGTATGTATCTATCTTCTTGGGCAAACCTGCTTTCGAGGGGTACTTCCTTCAAAGAAGAAGACAACTTTCACATTTCAGTTAAACAACGGTTGTGACTAGGGTAGCTACCTTGCAGTTTGCTTATATTATCTTCTATAAATTGACTTTCTACAACATTTAAAACATAGCAATAATTTTTTATATCTAGAATATGCTACACCTGGTGTGAAACTCCACATCATCACTTACAACCAATATATCTATTAACCTTTCAGAAAATAAACAACATCCAGAAAATTCAAGTTTATCTGCAGGTGAAGTTGTTACTATTCAGGAGGTGAGTACCTGTGAAAAAAGTGTTTGGATTAAAAGTGGCCACCAGAAAATAGCACAAGATATAGTTTACTTGCTAGAATATGAGCAGATTAAAATTCAGTTACTTAAATTAGGAGTTAAAGTTCAAAAATGCTTTGCTGATTGTTTAATTTCAGCTTCTTTTCAAGCATTAGAAGAGTTTCCTTCACCAACAGCATAGTCTCATTTTTTGCTTTACCAATTACTTTGAACATACTGAATGTCATTTCAGATTCACTTTGTGCAACGTTTAACCTTTAACCTAGGATTCGTGTTCTTTTAAATGATCTCCAAGTCTTCCTACAGTCAACCTGATGAGAGCACCCCTGCACACTGAGTGACAAACTTCATAAATGACCCGTGACTATTGGAAAAACTGGATCAAACCTTTAAACAAATTATTAACAAAGGTAGTAAACATCGTGACAGATTTAATTTCTGGGATCTAAAGTGGGAAATTGAATTTTTTGCAAAACAGAGGAATTTTTTCAGATTGTTGGTGGGATATGTACAGCTTTTAAAAGTTGCTGAGTAATGGAAACATTTCTAATAATTGGAAACTTGTTAAATTGGTTACTATTTTGATAAAGATCAGGCCTATCAGTTACACTTCTATTACTACTACTACGTCTGTCGTATTCTAACTGGCCTGATGAGCCATGGTGTTAGGCTAAAGGCGTCGTTGGTACTGAATATAGTGGGGATGGCATATTAAACATTCTTCTCTGCTTTTACTCATAAGTTTTTTTTTATTTACAGAGAAAGTGTTAGAGTATATTAAATGAAAGTAATCTGAAAATATTTTAAAAGTTGACATTGAGAAAATATTCTTGAGATTGCTTTAGAAAGTTTTCTCTTAGTTTTTTCATAAGAATTAGTTTTAACAAAGAAGAACAACCAGGATTTAAAAAAAACACTTTAATAAACTTTTAAAGAACATATAATTAAAAAACAAGTTAGATCTTTATGGCACTGTTGAAAAAGTAAAAATCATGGAAACAGAAAAAAGCTGTCTTTAAGAATAATTTCACAAAGATTTCTTTATATATCAACTACTGAGGTCTTCAATAGCTAAGATATGTCCCTGCATTTGAATAGCCTTATCAAATTTATTGATATTAAAATGTTGACACTGTACATATTTCTTTTATTCAAAAGGACCTATATAATCTTAAGAAGTAAGAAATTTTGAACAAAAGAAGAGTAAATAATGCAGCAGGATCATGGAAACAATATGGTTCTTGTGTAGATAAGATAAGGGGATACAGCAGTTGTTGTTTTTGTCTACATGTTCTAATACTTCATCTGTTAAATATACCTTTTTTTAAAAACTCGTACACATAACAAGATGTAGTACAAGGACTGATACATAAAAATGTTTTGATTGATAAATGAAATGATTTCTTCCTCGTTAATATTTCTTTATAAGTATGGAACTGGTCCTTATCATTCATTTATAACAGAAAAACAACAACATAAGCAAATAATGTTTGTATTTACTAATATTGTGTTTGGATTATCTAATTACTAATTTATGAAGGAATTTTTCACCTGAAAGGGACTTGGGACCATCTGATGAATCGTGTGTTAAATGTTCTTATTTTAAAATGTTTGTACAATTTTAACAAGTTTAATATAGGGTCAGAACATGGAAAATAGGTTCTGTTTGAACAAGTTTTATACAACTGAGTTGTAGAAATATGGAGAAAACTTACTTTTGGAGAGAGGAGAGGAGCCTTAATGGTTTAGAAAAAACATTTAATTGTAACTATTAATAAAATCGCATGGTTCTCCATTGTTTTCCTTTTCTCCAGTCAATTTTCTTACATCATTATTCTTGATTTTAACCCATCAGGTACTCTCCCAACCTTTTCTCAGATCTAATTAAATGCCTAAAATTAGTACATATTTCATTTTCTACATATCAGCTAGTAATTGGGATACTTTGGAAGGCATTCCAAAAGTCGACTAGGAAGGCTGTCCTGTTAGAACTATTGTTTCGATTAGAAGTACATATAATCATGTACTGGCTGGTAAATTACTTGGACCAGTTTGTGCACAATACATATAAAATACTGGATTTCAGGTTTAATAAGAATACATATTTTGTGCAAGTTTTAATGTAGAATCTTTCTATACTAATATTCCTTTAAAACAAAAAAAGACTTCATAAATGGCTGCTGATGAGACTTATCAAAATTAAAGTAATTTATAATCAATACAACTACCCAATACGTTTTACAGAAACCGTTAAAGATCGGCACTAAAGAATCGCATCTTTTCAACAATACCATTTATGACCAAACTGATGGTGTAGCAACAGGACTGATATTTTCACTTGCTAACTAACTGTTGTCATACCATGAAAAAACAACAGAAGAACTACCTTTCAAGTTTTAAACTATCGCATTTACGTTAACAATAGTTAGTTGTGGTGATTATGAACATGTAGATCAGTTCTTGCAGTATTGTATAAAGATTGGTTTATACTTCAACTAACTAGTTTTATCCCATTATTATTTAGGAAATTTTAGCTAAGATCACTAGCACATATCAATATTTACATAAAGAACTTGAAATTATCAATAAACGAAAATAGTTTTCCTTGAAATAGTTATTTGGGGGTAATTCAATATCTATAAACACCTAAACTGAAATTTTCGAAAGCAAATAGTATAACAGATACTACCATATACTGGCATACATGCATTGTTATAGAAACAAATAGCTACATAAACTTTTCTTTAGAGCTGACCTACAAATAGATTTATGACACATTTTTGAACCTGAATGTAGATAAAAAATTATTTTCAGTTTTAAAGATAGATTATTGCCATTAATTATATATCTAATGATGTTTATTAATTTAAGTATCCAAGATGCAGTTCTATGTATATTGGATATACCACCAGATGGCTGGAAACATGTGTAAGTCAGCATGCAAACTGGGTGACTGGAAACAAATCTAGCATAACAGATCACAATAGAACTAGCTTGGAGATTAATCTTTCACTAAAATATAAAATACTAAAAGCAATTTTTCAAAATAACTTCCAAGTGCAAATTTTAACACCGTAATGGTAACAAAATTCAAATTAATAAGTATAAGTTTTTGGGTTCTCCTTTGACTATGGAATTAAAACATTCATAACTTTTTTGCTAATAAATTACATTTTTCTTCCTTTTTTACAGTAACTAGGATGTGGTCTTCTTTCTTGTAATCCTTTTGCAATTTCATTTGAAAGAGTTGACACTAGTGTTGTAATGACTGAAAAATCAGAAGTGGCCTTTTTAACAGATTCTGTATTTTGTTTTTTTTCTTGCTTCAGAAGAGACACCCTTCTCTCCATACGTTCAACCTTTGTCATTCAACTAAAAAATAAGATATATATATATATATATATATTCAAAAGAAAATGCACAATAATAATATCAAATTATTTTAATAATAATAACTTCCAATCAGAATAAACTTTCTAAATATATGCAGCTATATCATAGTTTTTACAAATTACACATAGCGCAATACAAACTTTTCTTTTAGTTTTAAATTTAAACTATGTGTACATTACAATGAATAACATGATTTCTACTGCACTTTACATTCACAGACCAGTTTGAAAGTTACTTACTGTAGTTAACTTCTAGTTTTACACGACAGTACAAATCTATAAAACAAACTTAACTATCAAAATTCAGATACGGAAATATTAAATAGCCAAATTTAACTTTTAGTTTTAACTCAATTTAAGGTATGTTTTTCATTTGTAATCTTGATTAAGCCTAGCTATAGTTTTGTTATTACTTACATCGTCTACGTTCTCCAATAATTCTAATAAAGTCTAAAAATTATAGTGTATTGTAACTTGTATTGTAAATGGTTAAAAATAAAATACTCTGGTTTTGACACATAGCTTTAGCCTTTACGAAGTCCGTATTATTACTATTACTATGAGATTTAGAGACAATAACTAGCAATAATAAAATTCTACAGTATTAAATATAAAAGAAAATAAGAAGTTTCTGGCAGTATCTACAAGCGTTTGATTAATCTCACATAAGACTAAAATCATGAATCTGAATTCATTGTGGATACAGTAACACATGAATACAAGTACCGTTACGTTACTTTCTATAAATAAGTCCTAACATTTAGTAACCACATGGCCGCCCATTGTGACAACATGCAGCGCATGTGCAAGAACCGTAACAGGAAATGAGACTCAGGAAGTGTCTTTAATTTAGGTCATATTTTTTCTGTGGTGCCGCGCAAAAGAAGCAAATACTAAAATAAATCATCTACATTGTTTTGATTAATAAAGAAGTTCTTAAACTCTTTTGTCAGCAACATTCCGTATCAGGACATGCAGAAAGTCTAGAGTCAGCGGGAATAAGGCCATAAATGAAAACGTTAAGCAAGGGGTATCACTAAACTGAAATTTTCCAAAGTGTGTAACGCCGAAAATATCTGCTTCGAAAAGAATATCATAAAAAAAAGACCAGAATTAACGCCGAATAGGCTAAATCTGAAAGGAATAGCATCGAAGTTATATTAGGAACATTGTCGAAAGTTATAAACTCGAAATGTTTGTTTGTTTCGGGTACTCCGGCAAAGTTACACAAGGGCTTTGCTAATTGTGCCTAATAATGGCTGGAGACGGCTTGAATGGGTAATGAAGAAAAACTTTAATATAAGTTATATATATATATATATACACTACACTACTACTATTAGTATAGTTATATTAGTATTATTATTATTATTACTTACTTACTTACTTACTACTACTACTA